GCCCTAAGTTTGCTTTTCTGTGAGGCATTATGCTTTTCTGTGAAAATGAACTAAAGCGGATCATCTTCTATCTATCTATATAAATAAAAATGTAATGTTCGTTTGTTCCTACCGATTCCTTTGAAATTTTGACACAATGCTGCATTCGAATGCGCACGTGTTTTTATATAATATACGTGTCGAAATTCAACCCCACTGAAGGGAGATGGTTAGGATTAAGGCTTACGGTAAAGAACTCTGCTTCTATTTATACTATTTTAGATGCAGGTTTTTGCGTTTTTGATTTCGTTTTAATAGGATACGTCAAGAGAATATACACTAAGAAGAAATTTTTCGAAAAATTTGCCCCCCTACGGGGTTGTGTTATAAATTTATAATAAATACATTTTGAGCCACAACAACGCGTGGCGGGGTTTGCTAGTTACGTATAATTTTATTAAAGGTAAAAGACAATTTTTCAGAAAAATATGCTGGCTTGCAAATATTTTTATATTTATTGATTTGTTTGTACTAGTATGAATAGTCTACAAATTAATACGCTTTCGGCACAAATTTCGGATTAAAATGGAAGAAGACAACAATCAAAATTTGAAATTTCCTACGTTTACACCAGACCCGATTTTCCACGATCGTTTTATAAACTTTCGACGGGAAAATGGCTAGCGAAAGAGAGAATTGCGGCGAAATTTTCCCACTAAATATTTCAACTAGGTAAAAAAAAAGATAACTTATAAAAGAATAAATTTTAATTTACATTTACGCTTCAGTTTTCAAGAAAATTTATCAGGGAAGAGGTTATTAGATTTTAGTTCTGGCCCGCTCATTAACGAGATGGCAACACAGAGTTTATATTTCGAGGAAATCGTCGCGTCGGATTATTCCGGCCTCAACGGACAAGAAATGGAAAAATGGCTGACTACTTGGACTCGACGTCCTCGCTGGAAGCTTACGCCATTTTAGAAGATTTCGGGTTAGTTCGAATTCATTTGGTATAATTTCGACCTTCCTTATCTTAAAGAAAAGCATTGTTTATATTCGTCGACTAAAAGTCAAAACGAATTATGATAATTAATTCCAAGTACATTAACTTGCCACAGTTACTTCTCGGTAAATGAGACGTTACACAGTTTATACACGGCGCATTATTTCAAATGTTATATTTGTTTATAGTGTTTCTAAGCTAATTATAGATGCAAAATTACGATCCGGGTGCCCAGTTGGTCGATGCGAGTATCGAAGAACTGGGCACCCAGATCGTAATTTCCATTACTACGCGATTCCTTCAACGAGTTTGCATTGCTACTCGCATTACGGCAGACTAGAAGTACCGGCTTTTTCTTCGTTTCAAATTATTTGTCATTATTGAAACACCAGTTTTTTATACGATTAGTATAATTATAAGGGAGTGATATAAATTTTAATGATAAAATGCCAGCATTACGCTCTTAGTTTAATTAAATTTTGATGTTTATATGGAAATAAATAAAAAATCTTCGATTTGAATTGATAAGATTGTTATCGGTCAGTTATCGGTCAACGCCAGGTCTTACACGTTTCTCTTTGCGATATTACGCATAAATTATTTGCTTAATGATGAATCAAATGGATATTTGTAATCGGTAAAATAATTAATAATATAATAAAGTTTGCAAGACACGCCGCCTGCTTAAATCTACATTTTGTACGCATCCGATTCGTCACAACAGCTGCGCGATAGCCTAATGAAAGTCATTCGACTATGATAATTTGTTAAATTTTTTAAATATCGCGTAGTTGTTTACAGAAAAATAATTTTTTTATGTTGACGTAATGTTCCGCCATCGGAGCATTCGCCATCGAGTTGCGGACTGATTTACTACGCTGTACACGATGTTTCGTTAGGTGGGTCGATATCGAAGTTCGTCGCACTTTTAACATTTCAACCTCTAAAACGTCTGAAAAGATACCGAACAATCTGGAGATTACTAAATTGCGCAACTTCCAACAATTAAAAGCTCCTTACCGAAGCATTTTTAAAAGAAATATTACATCTTTACAAATAATTATTATAATTTCAAAGTACATTTACTGAAAATACATATAAAATCCCCACAGAAATATACTACTTGTAAAAATCCACAAAGATAGTTCAAAAACTACTGAACTACCTTACCCATATACTTTTGTCCTGTTAGTACTAACTAAGAAGGCCTTTACTCGACACCCACTGGGGTGTGGACAGGCCCACAATGGGTTACCTTACCAGAATTACTATGACTAATTTCACATAAAATTGCAGCATTTTACGAAATTCGTTCGACGTAATTTTATTGTTAAGCGTGGTTAAAAGTATGTCAATCGCGGACTATATAAGAACAATATATTTTGAGTATAAGAATTTCGAGGTGAATCCGTATTTTGCGTTAATAGTGTTAAGAAAATCGTGCTAATGTGTATAAATCCGCTTTGATATTTAAAATGAGTGTAATGGGAAAATTTCAAACATACACTAATTAATTAATAGAAAACTTGGACAATACAACATACAATTTAAATGTAAGCCACGGATACATCTATATTTTCGTATTATTTGACTAATGCCGTATTTATATAATACATAAACGGTCCCAAGTTACGACTCGTTCGGCGTATGTAATATAATCTAATCTTAATTCTAAACACAATTAGTGATAAATGAAGTTCTTTAACAAACTAACGAAATTATCGAAAAATTATAAGATAATTAAGTTAAGATAAGATAATTGAGTTCTTAAAAATTTTCCAATAAATTAAATCACCTTTAAGCGTGTTAACATTGGCTATATCTTGAGTAATTACATATTAAGTAATTGCATTTAACTTATTTAAAAGTGTATATCATGCGTTAAGAAATAGAATCAATTGTTTATCAGTAATTTTAATTGAATTTATAACTGTAACTAATACATAATGAATGCTCTGTTGGTCGTTATACAGTAATTTTCCCCGTTTTCCGATGGTTTATTGGTGGCAAGTATAGAAAAAACTATTTTAAGAATGCTCATAAAAATTTATTTTATGACTCTTAAACTAATTGTTTTCATTAATTGATGAAGTGACAAATAGCAGTGTTGTATAATACAATTTATGGCGGTAACTGAAATTATATAATAGTGTATAATATCAGTTACTCCCGATAAAGTTATTCGAAATCTAGAAAATCTTATTGATAATATCAATAACATCCAATCTAAAGTCCTTTAAACTTAATATAAAAATCCACTGTTCGAAAAGTTGTTACTCGAGTAAAAGTTTGAAGGAGGTGAAAGACAGTTTTGGAAATTACTTCGCTGCCGAATACAGTAGACCCATATAACTCGTATCGAACTCAAATATTGTATCTACACAGGTAAAATTCTGTATAGTTTTATACAAATTAATTTTATTTTGCGGCATATTTAATATAATTTAACAAATTTAAAGAATTTATGATGTAATTATGACATATTTAATTCACTTTTTGTGTTAATATATTGATCAAGAGCATTAGCTAACGATTACCTATCGTTCTAGAAACGTTTATTTCCATATTTGTTCCGCGTAATACTGACTTTGGTTGATTTAAGATACGCAAATTAATTGTTATTTTTTACTATTTCAAATTATCGTAAAGATGGAAAAAGAAAAGAATCAAAACCATGAAGTTTCTGACATTTACAGGATGTCAGAATTTCCTCCCTCTTACTATAAAGCCACGACAGAAAGATGGACGAAGATAGAAGATACTTTGGCCGAACTACTTCATCAAATTTTTCATTCAGGTATTTAAAGTTAATTAAACGAGACATTAAAAGCACAAGATATTGTTATATTACGACGATTTTACAATACGTCATTATTACGTTAAGGTGCCGATATCATCGAGGAATCCGGATCCGAATCCGCACTTTCCTAATAATATATGTTCGGGGTTTCGTTCCTTTACTTTTCATTAATTGCAAATTGGGCTTTTTATTTTGTTTTGCGGCAAATAGAATTATCTACAAGATGTCTCGTAAGTCTGACACGATAGAAAAAAATTCCTATTTTCATACATCAGTAATATCTGCGAGCGAGAAAGAACGAATGCATTTAATTCTATTTGTCTCCAGATTTTCATCTGGAAATATAGACCATTGAATATTAATTATGGTGCAGGATGGAGAGATGTGACATCATTACCCTTTGCTTACCGACTGGCAATCACTCGAATTTGTTTGTCGAGAAAGATTGCGGACATATTGAGCAAAATACGCGAATTTCCTGAAATGCCAGACTTGCGAGACACCCTGTACACAGCGTATAGTTTCACGAATGAAATCTGAAATTTATACCGTAAATTTAAGCAAAGTGAGTAATTTGAAATGATTTTTCTCACCTGAAAATGAATCGAAATTTTTCCGTTTTCTGCATAACACTATAAAATATAAAAATCTATATTCTTCTTCATCATCTATGAGCATTTTAATCGCAAACGTGAAAAAAACAGGCTTTTTAACATTTTAATTAATTTTTTGCTACTTTTTCTTTTCAGGAAATTTACCCGGAAAGAGATTATTAGATTTTGGTTGTGGTCCATTCATTTACAGAATGGCATCTGCTAGTCTTCGATACAATGACATTGTTCTTGCCGATTATTCGGAAACCAACAGGAAAGAAATACAGAAATGGTTAAACGAGGACCCCAATACTTTCGATTTGACTCCGTTTCTCGCCAGAACCGCCATTTTGGAAGGTTTCGAGTGAGTATATTTAATTAATAACGAGTATTTTAGAATATGCTTCATTAAAATGTATTTTGATTAGAGAAATTAAAGAAGGAGTGAAGCGGATCGAAAGAAGAATTCGCCAGAGCGTTAAAACGGTCATCGGTTGTGATGGACTGAGTGACCAGATACTTCCCAAAGGAATCGGAAAATTCGACGTTATCACTTGCTTCTATTGTATCACTAATTTTGCATTCAGCGACGAGGAACATAAGAAATTTTTGCGGAAACTTTCCGCATATCTTAACGATGACGGTGTCGTAATCGTCATAACCGTTTTTGGTGTAGATAAATATCAACTGCACCAATGGATCGATCATTATCCTTGCAAGAAAGAATCCATCCGGCAAATAATTAAAGATGGCGGTTTTCGGGTACAGAAGTGGTACAGTCACGAAAATACCACTCTGCCCGAACATCAGTGTTTATATACCTTGATTAAACTACGATCGTAACGTACACGCTCTTACTGAGCCTTAAAGCTCGATAAAGTGCCAATGTGTCAAAATGGCAAATAAGTGAATCCGAATATATTTCTGAACTAATTAATGTTTTTTATATCCTTCCTAATGTCTCATAGGAAACTTATTTTTGTATATTTTTGCCAAGGTTTTAAGTAATAAAACATTAGACTTTACAGCGGTTAACTGAGTTTTGGGCCACCCTGTATATCGATACCTTTATTTCTTTGAAAATGATTAAATTTTATGGTAAATAATAACATCGGCTAAATGATCAAGTTTACAGTAAAGAAATGAACGTAATTATCAGATAAGTTTTTATTTTAAAAAACCAATTAGATGCATGTTTTTCATTCACTCTGTTTATGTGCTATTTATTGCGCTACACATCAATCTTGTGGTTAATTGAATTTGCGATAGAAGTGCTCACCACACAGTATGCTAACACGGACTGTTTAGGCACTTGTGGAATGCCACTTCACTTCATTAACGACGAGTTTCGGATTACTCTTTTAGAAAAATCTCTTAAGAATTGTCTAAAAAATTAGTTATTTAATTTTTGATGTTTCGTACGATGATCGAGTTGCAACTTTTAACGTTTCAAAACGTGGAATTTATGACACTGCCCACTTATACAATGCGTTGTCTATTTTAAGGTGCATCACTCATTCGTTTGCATGGAGTTGTGCAGGAGATAATAGGTGGTTCTCTGCAATATGTGCACGTTTTTAATAATTGCATCTTTAATTATTGTAAACAAGCAGTTTCTTTTCATAATTAGTCATATTTGTTAGTACTTCAAGTAATTATTTTTTAAAACTCCATTATCGGAAAGTGATACCATAAATACAATTAAAAATATCATTAATATTTCATTTTAGTTAATAAAGTTAAAAAAATTGTAGAACTGTTTTCATTTTAGATAAGTAAGTTTAGAAACAAACTCGTATCAATTATTCACAACGAAAACTAATCACGATACATCGTCTGAACAACTGTTTTGATCATCCATTTTTATATCACGTGATAGAAAAACTGCCCGACTGTCCGACGCAGTGTTCCTTTTTCTTCTCGAGTTGTTTGATGCCTTGAGAAATTTATCGCCGAGAGGAGAGATCCTCGTTAATAAACACATAGTTTCAAGTAATCATCATTAAGAAACACAGTTCGACCTTTTAAAAGTATTGCAGAAGACCACCCGTGTCCATATTTACTTTGTTATCTCGTGCACATTACTCAGCATGTTGAACATACACACGATTCATTCTATACAATACTTCCAACTTCCTTTTAATGAAGTTAGAGTATAATAATTAACTGGTTTTTTCCTCAAAATGATTTTATTACGATTAAAATTTGTTTTTAGTTTCCTTAAAAACTAGCTTTAAGATTCTTATTGCTTTCTTAATACACGTATGAAAGTTGTTCCCGAAAATAGATTTATAATATATATTTCATTTCGAAGTATTAATCATGTATGTACGGATCTAGAAACTTAACGGCATTTTGCAACTCTTCGCTGTCATCTTCCAGTTGCGGTTCACTTGTTTGATTTCTATCGAAAATGTCAGCCCCAAAGACAGTTTCGTCACGTACCCCCGTCGTATCCCATACCATTATGGTACCGTCGTAAGAACCGGTAAATAATTTACCCGGAACCACCTGAAAAAAAGGTATGACTACAAAATTCTTAATTATTATTTACTATTTAGAAAGTGATATACCTCCATGCATATAATAGCATTGGTGTGGCCGGAGAACAACCTCTTCATGGTACCCGATTTAGCTTCGAACATTCTTCCAAGAGTATCTCCAGAAGCCGTGTACACTGCGGCATACGTTACAAAACTATAAAAAATCTGTTCAATCATGAATGTAAGTTACGTGAATACTTACAAATTCCGTCGAAATACCGTAGGCAAGAAACTGTGTGATTATGCCCCGAAAATACTCTAGTACATTCTCCAAACTCCATAGCCCACGCTCGAGCCGTTTTATCGGAGCTGCCGGAATACAACATCCTCTTGTGGATCTAAAACAATTTTATTCATTTCTTGTACGAGAAACATTTCTTATTTCTAATCGACTTCCAACTTACCATTAATGTGTATATAGGGCCTCCGTGACCTCTCATTTGTCTAATGCACTCCCCTGTTATAATGTTCCAACATCTGATAATCGAATCGCCTCCGGCAGTGAAAAGCATGTCCCCGGTAGGATCCGCTTCCATGGTATTGACTGGAGCATTATGGTAGAAGGTCTGTAATGCAAATTTTTTAAATTGTTCATAAATGATGTAATAAAACCGATATCAAAGCGTAAGTAATCAAATACTACTAACATTTATACATCTGCCTGTATCAAAAGACCAGGATCTCGCGGTTCCATCAGCGCTACCCGTAATTATAATGTCTTCGTCAGAACTTTTGTACTCGTAGTTGTCTTCTTCCTCTTCCGATTCTTTATCTCCGGACAGGAATATAATAGGATAAGTAGCTTTGGTGTGTTTCTAAAAATGGGTTTACACATTATTAATCATTTGGTAATGATTTTCGAGTGATAGGTTGTGTCCGCTTACCTCTAACGTCCTTATACACGCCTCCCCCTGAATGTCTCCAACATCGTTAACATCAAAAATCCATATCCTTGCGGTAGTATCGCTAGACGTAGAGAATATATAATCTCCGGCGCATACAACTCGACTTATTCTGGACGTGTGACCCTCGTAGACGTAAACGCAATCGCCAGTAGTTATCATCCACTTCCTTATCGTGTGATCGGCAGACCCCGTTACTACGAATTGTTCGTGTATAACGCAGCAAGTGATGTATCCCGTGTGACCTTCCATCACGCCTATGCATTCGATGGGATTCGATTGTGTGCTCCACATGCGAGCAGTTTTGTCGTCACTTCCTGTCACAAGAAGCGATCCATCTTCGCTTAGTGCCATACAATTGATGCCCCCTTGATGTTCCGTTATCTTCTGCAATAGGTAATTTTTGCCTATAATAGGTTTCGGTTTGTGAGGATTGCTTTCTTTCGTAGGACTGCAACCCATGTTGCGTTTTTTATGACAATAATTCTGTAAATAGTATTGTAACGTTTAAAAAATGTACGTAAATATCGAGAAAGAAACCTAATTCGTGACGAAAGAACACGAGACGAGCTGGTGTCACGCACCACGAAACTGTTTAAACATAAACAAGGTCAATTTTTAACAGGTTTCTTTACAAGATTGTTAGCTTAATATAAACTAGAATTTTCTGTGTTTTCCTTTCGTGACAGTGCAGGAGAATATGCGATTTGTCGCGACGGACTTAATTAAATAATATTAAACTTTTGTTTAAAGTCTCCAATCTCTCCACTGGATATGAACGAACTGGAATGTGCCTATACCCAACGAAGTATTTTATAACTTTAACACAATTTCTACTGTTTAAAGTGTTTAATCCACTTAATAACACTAATACAACGTAATATTACTAATTTTAAACACCGAATCTTGTATATCTTGGGCACTGAATTTTACCTAATGTTTACCACGGCGTTTGAAGTCTTTCGACGTGAAATCCGTTGAACTTTCTGGTACAATTGGTTAAATTTCGTGTCACGTGAATCCCGGTGGATCATTATTACCCCGGTTCCATTTACTTTTCGTTTAATAGTTATGTTATAAGGAAGTGGGTCAATTTCCTAGTAAAACTGTTAAATGGGCGAGGTCTGTTCAATAATTGAATGAATCTCAACCAGCCGTGTCCATTCTATCGATTCGCTTCTGTTAAGCCGAGATTCTTTTTTAAACTCTTCTGTTTAATACGAGAGATTAGTCATTGTTAAATCGAATTTTCAAAGTATTGTAACAGCGCTTTACTGTCGATGCTTCGCTGTAGTTGTAAACGTAGCCCAAAGTAACTCGCGTGAAACGAATTATCGAAATAACGCGCACTTTCTTATCATTTATTAATCACCAATTTCTAGCTTCCTCTGTTTATATAGTACACGAGCACCCTTCAATTTTCTTGTATAAAATGCGAACTAACATTCATACAAACGTATGCATTTTTACTTATGTAAAATCGTTGTACGCTGGACAATCCGAACGTCCATTTGTGACAATTGCTAAATTCTTTTTGGTCATTGGAAAGTAAGTAGAGCTTAACTGTATGTGTCCTTTTAGATATCGGTTTTATTACATCATCAATTATTTTGTTCCTTATTTTACACTAGACAGTAAAGTGCCAATTGTATACATGGATTTGGAGATATACACACTTTATATTATGATATCCACTATTGTAAGTAGAACACGTTCGTACAATTGAAATTTTTCACTAAAATTAACATATTTTCAATTCTTTGTCTTGAAAATACGTATTTACATTTCAGTAACTATTGTAAATGGTAACTCTACTTTTGATCATCGTTTTCACTATTTTAAAACAGGAGAATGCGAAAAAAACTTCAATTTTTAACATTTATTTTTGTAAAATTTTAATTTTTCTCCAGTTTAATAAAAAATATTTCACACGTTTCCCTCGTAAAAAGGATAATTTCAATATTTGATTTGATCACGTCTTCGTATCAAATAAAGTATGACGGATCGACAGGCATTAATAATATGTTGGCAGGAGTCGGCAGTTTATACTTCTTTTAGTTCGTGTATAATATCTATCTTTATATTAAATTATATTCCCCGAAAAGTTCATTCCGCCATTTTATAAACTAAACTCTGATACATTTCGCATATTTTTAAGCTTTTGATATATAAAATTAAGTACTTTGAGGCCTAAATAAATGTAGTTTTGCGAATAATATAATGTAAATTTTCTCGGAATATTTAACACAATTACGACAATATGAAAACCAAAATGGCAGCCATTTTGAATGAATTCTAGTAGCTATGTTGTTTCAATTACCGTCAAAAATGCTAGTACAGATTTGGAAGTAAAGTCTAAATATGTAGCAGACACGCAGTAGGATTAATTTAATAAAATTTTTACCTTAGTTTTTGTAAAATTTCATGAAATTTACGGCTCTTATGGATGCTTTTCCCTCTCTATCCGCATATAAATCACATTTCAGAAAGTATATCTAATTAATTCTTTAAGATTTTTTGTTATTATTGGTGAAAATCCTTGATAAAATACAGTATTTATATAAAAAACAAATAAAATGTATTCAAGATATTCAATTGTTATAATTTTTAAGAAATCTTAAATCGACGTTTCATTAAAAACGAAAATATTAAATACGTTAAAGTATGTTAATTTTACGTGTTTAGAAAAAAAGAAAAGTATTTTACTACACGAGAAACACGTCAGTGCATCGATTATCAGTCACTTCTTTGATAGTTACATAAAGAAATCCATTTAGAAAATATTATTTTCCTAATCCAATTCGAAAACACAGATAAGAATTTTCAAAAGAAATGAAAAAAGTAATGAAAATTTCTTAAATAAATAATTTAAAAATGAAAAAAAAACAGTGAAAACACAAAAACATAAAAAACACACCGGTAAGTGCTACACCACAATTTAACTTAAATAAATCGACAATACCTAAAAAAATCACGATACGATCGTTCAAGACACGTTAAACATTAGTTTTAAAACACATAAAACAATACACGTATTTAAAATGAGTGTTTTTTGAACACCGGTACGCATTTACTATAGACGTAACACGTGAAGCGATTGCCTATAACGAGTGGGGTAAATAACGCCTACGTGTTTTAAAATATTTAAATATTACGCGATAAGGACGAAGGAGCGAGGAGAAGGGGAAAGAAAACAATTGACTTACTCGGAAAATAGTTGGAGTCGTCTCGAGCCAGATCGGTGTGCATTAGTCACAGATACAAACAATGAATATGTTTCGTTGCTTGGTGCATAAACTCAGCCTTGACTACAAAATAGGGGTGACAGCCTCTGGACGGGTGAAGAAGTAAAGTTACCATGGAAACAGATGATCATAACACAAACCGGTGTGTTGGCATTCGATTCTCCCATTTTTTTCACTGTTTTTGACGCGATGGCGGTTGACTCGCCTACGTTAGACGAATATTCAACGAGACCCTTACGATTTTTCTGTTGCTTTCTTTTTTGTGGCACTTATTTTTCACCCTTTAGAAATTACTTTCAAATATTTAGACTTTTTGTTTTATAATGTAAAAATAATTTCTTAAATTTTATATATTTATAAGCGTTGAAATGCGTTAGTTTTTTATTCGTTACGATTAATTCGGGTGGTTAAATCTGTATAAAATGAATACGGTTATTAATTACGTAGTTTCGTTTTCTGTTAATAGATGGCGCAACGAGTCGTGTACCGTCTGTTATAACGAGACGTAGCCTTTCCCATCCATTTTTGTGAAATTAACGTCTTTATTTTAATTTAAAAACTAATGTAATGTTATACGAAACTGATACTATTTATTTTTCTTTTCTTGTAGCGAATTCAACTTACTTTTAACGTTTTTATTTCACCAAATTCTTTCCTTATCTACCTAGAAATCCACAGAATCAGTTTCCAACTTTCATCCTTTTATGCTTAAACTTAATTCTTTAGACTCATAATTCGTAATTTCTTTTAGATTTAATTGTGTTGGCTAATTCTGATTGTTAGAAGACGTATCGCGTGTTTGGTTACGTCACAATGATTTGAGTATTTATTTCTTGTGGGCAATATATAAGATCTTTGTTTCGTTAAACATAGCAGCGTATATCACACAAGATCTTGTGTTTCGTAGCGAGAATATAGTTATAAAATCGTTTCGTGTATAAAACTTAGCTTGAGGTAGGTAAAGATTTAGTAATTCAGTAGGGAAAGAGGTATGTTTTCTTCGTTATCAACACGAGAGAGCAGCCGACGTTACGTTTCTATGTTCTACAAAAAGAGCTAATTCGTCTTATGTGTTGTATACCATTATATTTAACACCAGAAATTATGAAAGCGCCGTATAATCAATTACCACACAGGTAAATGGTAAATTATCGGAATATGGCAAAACACTGGAAACGTGACAAAGTGAGAATAAATATACAAAAATTTATTATTTATAAAAAATTAAGATTGATTTAGAAATGAATTTTGTGTTTCAAATATCCGTTTCGAAGCATGCAGCGAGAATTAAGTCGGTGATAAGAGTTTCTGCTCCAAAGTGTAGGATAACAGAGAAGGGAAATAGCGTGAATTGACACACTTTCCACACTTCTCACCAATTGTGGTCAATATCGTAAATTTCCTTTGACGTTCTGCCATAATAATATTCATCTACCACAATGTTTCGTCGCTTTGGACTATTTTTAAGGGCTTGTGCCCGTTTGAACACGCTTAACTATCATTAAACTCGTTTCTTCTTTTAATTACTCGCGCCTATAACTTACAACGTTAATGAAGTATTAAATATTTAAACTTTACCGCTTTATTTGTTTATTTGAGTGTACAATTATTAAATAGTTTTATAGGGTTTTTCTTTCTTTACAAATTATTCTGACATAAAAGTTTATTCGTAAAATGTTCATCAATCGCCGAGAAACACCAATTTAACTTGTATTTTGCGGTACAAGTTATTATAAATTTTAACGAGATAATGTTATATTCGACGAGATTAACGTTTACTTTTCTATTCTTAAACTTCACATTTAATTTTCTCAATAATGAGGTTGGTAACTGGAAGAAAAAATTATATGTAGTTTTTCTTTTGTATAATAAATATGTTGTAAAATTTTGTTAAATTTCCATAGATTCTTACGTATTCTTACCTTTTCGCGTGCAAACATCTTCAAGATTTGCTTTCGAAAGCGTAAAATTGTTTATGTCTTGAAATTATTTATCCTAACCAGTAGCTCGCGGTCCCATCCCAGACAATCCTCTTCTTTGTTTAGGCGATAGAAATTTGAATAAATGTTTCCAAATTGAATATAAGCGTGTACGTACGTTAACTGAGGTGCGACCGTTCTTCTATAATGCAAATTATAGGCAAAGCATTCCAGCCACGCGCCATTTTTATATCTGTTCTGTAATTTTGGCAGCGTAATTTTTCGTTTTATAGAATGTTTACGCGAAAACACTGGCGATTATTGATGTAAAATGGACGAAAATTTATGGAATGTTATGAAATTCTTGTAAAGAATCATTCTCTGCCGAACGGCACTAATGTCGTTAAGATGTCAAAGTGAAATATCGGTATAGTTAGATGTAACGATGATTGAGATTACCAGGAAGGTAATTTGACGCTTTAATTCTTAAACAATTGGCTCTCGGTCTGGTAAATCTTTTTAAAAAATGCATAAAATTTTACCGAAAACGGTAAGCAAAACGCACAATTTCTTTAACAATGAGCAAAATGGGTCGAATTGTGATAAACTTCGGGTGCATGACTCGGAAAAACCAGAAGTACTGCACGGGCGATGCTGCCACACAAGTATATTCATTCTAGACAAGTGCCAGTGTTTAGTATTCTCTGTCCACGTGACAGGCAAACACAAACACCCGACTGAAGAAACATTTTATTTTGCACACTTCTTTTTATAAACAAAGTAAAAACCGGATATAATTAGATTTTATTTGTTTTGTTTGTTTTTCTTATAATAAGGAGAGACTTAAAAAGTATTTTGTTGTCTTAAAACTTTCTTTTGGTGTTTTCCCAGCGTATATTGACAATAAAAATGATTTAGTGCCTTTAAAAAAAGGGGGATACAAGATAACGGTGGAAGTGAAAATTGGTGGACTTATCAGGCGCCTATTTGATGACAGTTTGTGACGTAGTTTGATGTTTATTAGATTATTATATTTGTTAATATTATTACTAGACGTTGAATGAGAGTTATTATGAAATTATTCCTTATTTTCTTTAACGTAGAACAGACAATTCGGCCAAAATATCTGCTTAATTACGTATTTAACTTTCTTAAATAAGTTAATTAATTTAAATATAATTAAGTTTTCTCTTACGAGATTCGTTTCTTGTACATTCGCGTTAAAATATATTTGTATCGTAATACGAGAGTATTGCGAAGTTTTCGTGTTAGATTGTTTCTGTATATTTTCGCTTTTACGCTTTCGTATACAATTCATCCCTCACTTTCTTCGGGATCATTTTTGTCATTTCTGTATCTGTTACAGAGATTTTTTGCATTTTTATACTTTCACGTAAGTGTGTACGGTATCTTTCTATAAGAGTGATGGTCGGACATTTATACAGAATACCCTGTTCTGTATTTTCATGCGAGTATTCTTGTATACCTTTCACACTTGCTAAATGTTCTTGTTCGCTTCTCGAACCTGGATTTAAGGCTCTCGTGTGTTTCTCACGACTTTTCGTCAACGTTCCCGTTCACTTCTTGCATATTCGTGCAAGTTTTTTGGCACACGAAGGTTGAAGGATACGATAGAATACGTCTACGTACAAGAATACTCAAGCTGTACTGTACTTTTACATAAATGTTATTATGCTATCACGGAAGAGCATAAAACAGATGTTACGTACGATAAAACTGGATTTTAATAGATACAATTGATGGTAAATTCTGTTTTAAGTACCCGAAATCCTTAATTTATGATTTACTATGGCTAGTTAATACATAAAATTGATTACCGGAAAACATCTGTAGCTCGCCGTTTACAGAGAATTATTAAAAATATATTTAGGATGAATATCGTTTGAAAATCTGATTAATTTAATTAAAGAAAAGCAACAGAATGGAAATAATTGCTGGTCAGGCTCGTTTGTTTTATCTGTTTCTTCGGGTGAAAGTAACTACGATAAATTACCCCATTTAATTTATAGTGTCAACACTTTGAAGTCATCGTTTTCACCACTTCATTGAAATAAATTGCTAAACAACTTTGCTTTAGCGTGTTTGCTTGTCGAGTTACAACTAAGAAAGCCACGACGTATTGTTCTTCCGTATCTATTGAAATGCCACTGTTCTTTTCTGTATACATAAAAGTTACCTTTGTAGGTAAAATCGATAATTATTGGGCAATCTGGAACCAGAAAAATTGTTTTCTTTGGCCAAATACAGTAAAAACAAATGGCATTTGTGAGTAAACTACTACTTTACGTACAAAAACTAAATTTACATTAAGTTCTTTAATTATTAATAAGTAAATAATTAATTTAAGATTTTTAATTGGAATTTTTAAAGGCAAATAAACGACGAGCGAGTAATAAAGGTTGGCAAAATGACAAGAAACTTAACTAATGATCCAATACGAGGCAAGAAGTACGGGCTTTACTTATTTTCAATTTCGAATGAAAGTTTCATCATTAATTTCCTTTTCTATGTCCAACCTTAAAGGAATAGGACAGTATTCTGTTTTCTTGATATCCTGTCGGCGCTATCGATCCCACTGTTTTATTCTTATTTTATTTTATCTGCTTCCTAAGACCAAATCAGATATCTTAAATTAATAGAATGATCGTGATTTATTAAGTAAAAATACTTTGGCACGACTCTCTTCTTTTATTTAGTAAACAAACGAATATTCTTCCATACCGAAATTTATTGAAAATTGACTTTTTATTTCTTCTTCCTTCGCTTCGTTTAAAATAATGATTTTCATATCGAGTTCACTAAATTGCATTAAACTCTATGTATAAATGGATTAGGTGAAAAAAAGGTATCAATTAATGATCAATCGTCCACCCCCTGCAAATACTTCTATCGATACGTCGTTGTATCGATAGAATTAATAGCCGTTGTACCGATCGATACGTCGTTGTATCGATTTATAACCGAGTTTTATTGATTACCGGTTAAATACTTACGTGTACCGATTACGCGTAAATCTCTACCGAGGATTACTGATTGGTACTTGGAAGCACGCTACGGCATTATGTAACTTACGTGCGTAAACACGATAAAGCTGGCTAAAAATTCACCTTTGTACCGTCTCTTATTTATCGAATGGTACTGTACGTGGGTTTTCAGCACCTCGTGTATGTAAACGTATTTATGACTTGCAACTAGCGACTACCGATTATTCAAAATTCTACTGGTGATACGCAAGTCTTTAGTAATGCTAGCGCAGTTTCCACTGACGGCCCCCACACTTCTGTAAAATCCTACTGGTGATTTATCAATTGCTATTGATAATACTCGAAAATTTGTTTACGATTGATCGACACAACTGATTAAATTCTGCTGACGATACATCAAATTCTGATTACTAACCGTGCATCGATTCTCGCAGTCGATTCGTTCGTTTCTATTCATGATTTTGACACCCACACCCGAATTATTGTTACTTATTATTTGCTTTAACACGCAACGGATCTCGAAACCTTCAGAAATCACAGGAAATGATATTATATTTACAATTACTTTTATCATAATGTCAATTAAACGTTAACAAATGTCGACAGTTTTAAGAATTATAAGTCATTATAATGCTACAAAAACACAAAAAATATGATATTTTCGAGTGTACAGGTTCATTTTTTCAACAATTATTTTTAAAATGAAACTGTTTATTTAAAATAAAAATAAAAAAGAGAAATTTTCATTCATTTTATATCGAACTCAAACTTTAATTAATTGAGAGAAACAATTGACAGTGAAGAGGATTTTTAAAATATTTTCCTTCTTCAAATTTT